AATTAGTATATGTATAATAACATACAGGATATCAGCAAATTGGTGGTACAACTCAAAGAGGGGAGAATATACATTAAAAAAGAAGTAGAGAATGTAGAGTAACATTTTTGCATACAAAGTTTCATGTCCAAATAAATCAGTGCTAAAGATTTGTAATATGTGTATACTTACACATGATCATTTCACTTACACTTTGTCTAACGAATATCATTGCAAATTACCTGTATTGCTATTTGAGTTTATCACATTACACAGTGAAGCATAAATAGTGAAATAAAAGCAAGAAGAAATATCCCTGTTGAATCAGTTGTAATAGTAAAATAGATTGGTCACCACAATCTCCAGACTTGACATTGATGCATTTTTACTTATGGAGCCATATCAAGTCTTTTGTGCACCACAATGAGAACACAAGTAGAAAACAGCTCAAAGAGAAAAATATTCTAATATTTGAATATTTGAAAACAGGAAATATTCTAAAAATCATTTACAGAAGCATAAGTGCACACATACTTAACGAATTTTCAACACTGATTTATTTGGAAATGAAGCTTCTTATGAAAAAATGTTACCCTACCTTTTCAACTAATTTTTTCATTTAGATTCATCCCTCTTTGGGTTGTACCACCAGTTAGCTAACACTCTGTATAATTGATTATGCGATGCTTAAAATTATTTTGTTTCTTAATTTAAATTAATAAGTATTTAAAAACTATTCATTATCAAAATTTATCATTCTTTGAGATAAAAAGTATGCTTACAATATCTACTTTACATATGTAATAAAATAACATTTATTGTTAAACATTTGAAATTACGATAAATACTTATATGAACATGTAGAATTGTGTGAAATGAAATTACAAATAAAATTTAATCTATACTTTTCAATTAACACATTCACATCGGGAAATGAAAATTCTCGTTTTTAAAAAATAAGCGTTGTCGTTGGGAAACGAGAATTCTCGTTTTGCGACACGTGTGCGCTTTCCTAATAAATTCTTAAATAACGGGATTATAAGGGCTGTGTACTCTGACAACATCCAAATAAAAGATAATTCTGACAGATTAATAAAAATTCAACTTATTTTGGACCACTTTATTCCAAAATTTCAAGAACTTTATTCACCAAAACGAGAGATATCTTTAGATGAAGGCATGATTCCTTGGAGAGGAAGGTTATCCTTTAGAACGTCTAATCCTGCTAAGATTATAAAATATGGGTTGCTAGTATGGGCTGTATGTGAAAGTAAGTCCGGATATGTAATAAATCTAGAAATATACTGTGCAAAAGGTAAAAAATTACAAGATACAATGTTGTCAGTTTTGCATCCGGTATTAGGTAAATGGCATTACTTATACCAAGACAATTATTATAATAGCGTCCAAAATGCTGAATTATTATTACTACATAAAACTAGAGTGTGTGGTACTATAAGAGAAAATAGAGGACTACCAATAGGTCTAAAAACTGACATAAAAAAATGTTTAATACACATATGTTAAAATATCTTTAGATTACTGAAATACCCCCGATTTATATGAAAAATTTGTGAAAAATAGCCCGACGCGAATGTGTTAATTTTATTTTATCTTAACCTTAAAAAAAAGGCCTCTATACATTATTTTAAGAAAACATGAATTAAATATATTACCGTATTAAATGTAATTTCTTATTAACATTAAGAAACATATGGAAAATCTTACTTTAGAGAAGTATTAAAAGACAAATCTTACGTTTAAAAAAAAACAGAGAGAATACGCCTCCAAGAAGAGTTCCTCCTCCTGAGAAAATGTAATTATTACCAACAAAAAGTAAATCTTGTCAAAATTGCCTGACAATTATAACTCCTAGACAATATTTACCAAATTTAAATAGAGCATCCATAAAACACCGATCCCATTTTTCCCCAATTTCGTCCTCGGTCCACGTAGCCATTTTTCTGTATTAAAGTAGATTTATAATATTAGATGTTATGTCATACGTCAGTCCATGATCATCTTGCAGAATACTTATTGAAACATTGATTACGTGTGAAAATTATGTTAAAGAAATTCAATGTTTCTTTACTTAATGATATTTTCTTCAGTAATATGTGTGAATGTATAATGTAATCGATGATAACGAAACCAATGTAATTAAGACGTTCCCATGTCGTTCAGACAAGAGAGTATGTAGGGACATGCAGAATATGTACTGTTACATTTTTGCGTAAATTACATGTATAAAATATTTTGTCATAATTAGATACATTGACCGTATTTATTTAAAATCTATTTTTTGACAACAAGCAACAATTGTTTTGTCTTATAAACTTGTTAATTTTATTAGACACCGCTCAATCTATTTTTGTAAATTTTCAAATCACTCCGTGGCGCCACAAGAGATTGCAGTTACACGATACCACATGTGTTTCGAAAACGAAATCACTAGGAAATCGTGGCAATTTATTTCAAGGCTAAGAGTATGTAATTACAAAGTGTATATTATCGTTTCATTTTTTCATTTTATTGATAATTTTTTCTACATAGCGTAGTATAAAAAAACGCTGTAATGAAAAATAAAAATGAAATGTAAGATAATGATTTTACGAATAAATATTATTTATTAATATAAATCTCGTTATATGTAAATATATTTTTATTATTGACGTGTTTATATTCGCACTGTACATTTTATTGTAAATAGTTATCTATTATTGTTTGTAAACTTTGTTACCAATGCTTTTTATGCATTAGAAGTATATATCTAAAACCCAAAAATGTTAAAAAATAAACTTTGAAAAATAAAATCTGTTTTAACGCCCTCTTGTAATCGATCCTATCCTACTAGAGCATTCTAAGATTTGGTGTTCGCTGTATATACTCGATTTGACAACATGGTTGTCCAGAAACATCACTATAAAATTGCAATGACAGAGTTTCTGGCGCAAAAATAAGCCGAAATTTGTGCAGAACATGTTCGTTAAATACTCTAAAGTAAAAAGGGGATAGTTTTAGTCGAAGCTGACTTCATGTTAAAGTGTTGTAAATTCAATAGATACCTATTCATGTTAAAATTGCGTCGCAAATAATGTTATCGATTAATTTTTTAAGAACTTCGGAGTCAATAAGTAAACGATCAAATAATATTAATAAGAAAGCGGATAATATAGAATTATTAATGAGGTTCTCATTTTTCATTGTGGTTTTCATTATAACAACCCACCTATTGCCGTCGGTTAGTGGAAGCGAATCGTTGGGAAACCCGTATAAAATATTAGGTGTTCACAAGCGTGCGACCTTACAAGAAATTCGAAAGGCATATAAAAATCTCGTCAAAGAATGGTAAGTATAACGATAAATATCATTCCATTATTATTTTATGAAGATTAGTATTTGTTATGGTTTAGTCTCAATTTTCTGTGTTGCACAAAAAATTTAAGCATATTAAAGGTATATGCTATTAACAAAAATAAGATATTTTATATTTAGCATTACACATTTCATTGACATTACACTGAAGCATACGAATTGTTTAAACATATTTATTTGAAGAAGGTATGTTTCTTTAGTCAAAAAATTCCATAATTCTTTGAACAAAAAAATGTAAATACTTTCAAATGATTATTCCAATTTTAATTGTAATATTAAAATATTAACTTTTTATTTTTTAAGG